TAAATGCGTATCAATAGTGAAATAAATATAAGATTAAATGTACAAAAAAGCAGCCATGATAAATATTTCGTTTTAATATTTACGAGGGGGTCCAATAATTTTGGTGATGTGTGTAATAAAGAATATTTTTTAAAATAATAAATATAGATATTGGCAATAAATTGTAAAGTTGTACCTTAAGCAAGTGTACCAACGTTTACGATGTTAAAATATCGGTATTTAGAGACACTGAATTTAAAAGTATTACAATAACATTTAAAAATGCAAATTAATAAATAATAATAAAATTATTGTTTTTAGCTTGATGTTAGTTGAAATTTCATTCATCTACCTTAGAAGTTTATGAGACACCCAATGATATTGTTACACTGGTTTTTGGTATCTCAATTTATTTCTACTCAATTTTAACAATAATTATACAACTAAGGGGTGGGTGGCTCAGTGGTAGAGTCTCTGCCTGTAGATCCAAGGGTCCCAGGTTCGAATCCCACCATTGGCCGGGATTTTTTTATTTAATTTCATTATTTAAAATTAATTCTGATGCCTTAGTAGCATTCCCCACTCGACCATTCACTGTTGGGTTCTAATTAACAGTGCTGTTCCTAAAGTGGCGCTTGGAAACAGTAACAGAGCCTACACAGAACACGAGGCTAATGGCCTTAGTAGTCGATGCCGATGACAACAAATTAAAAAAAAAATACCTTATTTAATAACCTTTATTAATGAAATTACAAACAGAATATAGTAATATATGTAAATATTCGATGAACATTATTTTGACAAATTAACATAAAATTGGCAGTTCTGAAAATATCCGGTGACAGTTAAGTTGCCTGCAGCAAAAGATTCATGTTTCATTGTTTGAGTATCAAATTTCTGTACCGAAACGCCACGGAAGGTACACCTGCCAGCATTCTTGAAACTTCATTTTTTGAAGATAAACTATCCTCTAAATATCCTTCAGCAACCGACGTACTCTTCCATCCACCATGGCGCTTCAACGTGGTCATACTGGCTCCAGCCTCTGCAAGAAGAGTTGCTGACGTTCGACGCATACAATGACCTGTATATTTCTCAGGATCGCTTAAACCCAGATATTTCGCTATAATGGACGGGATTTTTCCAAACGTGTTTTTCCTACAGTACATCGACCTTGTCTATAGGTCAGAAAAACCCTTTTTTTCTGAGGAACCACATGGCCGTAGTGACATATATAATCTCTTATTAGCTTTAAACTGTTCATTTCACCCTCATCTATAATGGTAAAAATTCATTTTTTATCGGTCTTGGTCTCTGGTACATTAAACTACAAAACCGATTTTCTATCTTCTACATGAGTAACTAACATGTTCACAAGTTCTTGCCGTCGACATCCACCAAATATTCCAAATATTAATGCAACTTTGTTCATTAAAAACGTCTCGTTCGGTGCCTTATGAATAAATTTTAAAACATCTTCTCTAGACAGAATTTTAGACTTCTTTGGTTTGTAGCCTTTTGAAGTTTGCTTGAAATATTAGTAATTAGCAATGTTAATATATTTATTTACTATTAAAGTCTTCTTTACCATGGAATATTTGGACCACAAGGAACTCGGAGAAAATGTTTTAGCGAGATAGCCGAAGTATCCAAGCAACACACTTTCATTAACATCTTTTACGTAGTTTTCTTGCATCCAATTTAATAATTTTTCGTATTCCATGTCGTAAGCTTCTTTAGACTTTTTTGGCAACAGATTTTCAGTTGCTTTCTTTGCTATTTCTACGAGGATGTATCAGAAAATAACGAGACTGGTGCTATAGTATAACAACGAAACATTTATTTAAAAAAATTCAACAACTATCCTTCGAAGTACTCTCCATTCTGTTGAATACATTTCATCGCTTTATCCACTTATCATAAACTTCTGAGAAACCATTTTTTGATAGTCTGTTTAGTATACCCATCACAGCGTTGTTGAGCTCTAAATCCGACTCAAATCTTCTACCTCTCAATTATTTTTTGACTTCAGGAAACAAATGGAAGTCACATGGAGCAAGGTCAGGAGAGTAGGGGGGATGAACCATAATTTTAACCCCTAATTCTTCAATTGTTCGTTGACAAATCATTGATCTATGGGCCGGAGCATTGTCGTGATGCAGCGTCCAGCCAAAGTCCTAATAAAGCGGCCTTTTTTTCTTTAATTTTGCCTTTAAGGGTCCTCGAAGTACATTAGAATAGTACTCCCCTGTTACTGTATGTCCTCTAGGTACAATGTGATCGTAAATAACGCCAAATTTATCAAAAAAAATCAGGTGCATCACTTTACCAGCGCTTTTAGCAGTTTTGGCCTTCTGCGGTCTTGGGCTGCCTTTATGCTTCCATTGCATACTTTGAGACTTCAATTCAGGATCGTAATGATAAAACCAACTTTCGTCACATGTAACCACATTATTTAAAAACTGTGGGTTACGTTGCAATTGCCATTTCCACTGCTGACAAATTGTCACTCGATTCGCTTTTTGTTCATCGGTCATCACTTTTGGAATCCATCTTGCCACGATCTTCCGGTACTTTTTGAGTGGTACCGTAAGACAAATTAACATTGTCAGAAATTCGTTTTATGCCAATCCGGCGATCATTTTGTATCAAGTCGTTAATTTCTGCAATTTTTGTGTCATTTCTCGCAGTTTGTGGTCGACCGGGACGAGGTTCATCTTCAACTGATTCACAACCGTCTTTAAACTTTTTATGCCATTCAAACACTCTACATCGTGATAAACTATTATCTAGATATGCACCTTTAATCATTTCAAAAGTTTCAGTTGGTGTTTTACCAAATCCAACACAAAATTTTATCGCGTATCTTTGCTCCACTTTCATTTTTCGATGGGTACGCAAAACACTGACAATTCAATAATTAATTTGTAACAAATGTCAAAAGTTAAATCAAAGCCTACTTGCGGGGTAGTACGTTAAATATAAGGCTTTCATGTCTCATTTTTTGGGTTATAAAATGTTACCTCTGAAAGAAGTTATAGCACCAGTCTCGTTATATACTGATATATCCTCGTATAATTTCGTCAGGAATTCCAAAATCTTCGTTCATTTTGACTTCTAACTTTGACACATATAAAAATTATTGTGATTTTATGACATTTACGTTTGTCAACCTAGCAACGATAGTGTCTACTATGATAAAATGGCAATTTTATTAATTCAAACCGGATTTTTTAAAATACTGATTTATATTGAGATTGGATTGCAATAACGAACAATGACATAAATAACTATTATAGTTTAATTTTACTTTTTAGTGAATGAAAAATATGTACCTTCAGGTAAAAGTGAAATGTCCGATTTTCTGGAGCCACTATTCCGAAATTTGATTTAAATATTTCCTCAATTTTTAAAATCTTTATAAAAACAACATTTTGCGATTTATTGCCATCAAAATTTGACTAAATTTTGAAAAAGTGGCTCCAGAGGAACATATTTTAGCTACACGTACATGCTTTTTATTTCACTAAAAATTAAAAAATTACTACTAAAATTTTGTATGGCTATATTTCGTATTAGCTAGAAAATAATTGCAATGTAAATTCTCCTTTAAAAAAAAACCGCCAAATTTCAAATTAAATATAATATTACGGGTAACTGCATTACCGACAAAGTAAGTGTTGATGGTAATACTGCTGGTAACTACATTACCGACAGAGTAGGATTAGTTCTACAACTCCCCCCATACAGGTCGCTGCAAGCAAACATGTTGCCAAATTTCTACAAAGAAACGTCAACTCTTAATAATCCTTCCTCCATGGCTTAGAGCCAATTATTGCAATAAAAGGTTTATTCCTGTATTTTTTTTTTTTTAATTTAACTCTTATTGGACCCTGTAAATGGTATTTTAAACATAATATAAATAACAAACTGTTAAAAAGTATGAAAACTCATAAAAGAATTCAAAGCTTGAAGTGAAATAAAATTCTTATTATTTAGTGTGCAAATATATTTCCTGTTTTATATATAATTAAAATATATCGAGCGCTTACGTCAATTAAGCCATCATCGGGACCCTAAAAGAGGGTTAATAGTAAACTTTATAGCAACATTAAAAGTACACCTTACTTATCAGAAATAGAAAAACTGCTGGTGTCGAGGCCAAACCATTAGTTGTCACTGATATGAAAGACAAGGAGGCCTCGAAAACAGCAACTACAGATTCCCTCATGTTCAATGTCGATGTCATAAAGATAAAAACAATAAGATTTAGTTAACCTCTGATCAATTTGCCAATACTTTTGAATAAAGGAGGAATTTTGCTATTAAGATGTTCAAAGAGATTTAATTTAATATTATAGTTAAAAAATACTGATGCAAGTGTTAAATTTTCCAGCTGTTTTACTGATATTCGTAGTGTTATAATCAATGGAGGAAAGTCTTTATATACCACATTATTTAAAGGCTCAATCTCGTCTTTCGAGTACTTGTAATAGAACTTACATTTTTAAAGAAAATTCTAATGTTAGTAAAACCTTTAAAAACACTGGCAATGTCATTTGAAACAGTCCCTAAAAAGGGCAAAGTATTACTAATTAGCCAAAACCGGTCGCCTAAATTAAATAAATATTTATATTACTAATTTTTTGATTGTCTCATTGAATATAACCACTTTTGAGAGATTTCTTCTTGAGGTGTTCTTTCTTTGTTTATAGTTCGTATACATTTTATTATTAACGGTATTACTAGAAAACTATTTTTTTACTGATAACTATTTTTTTATTTATTGATGAAATAGCATATATTGGTAATTATTTTACTTCAATAAGATTAATAAAGATTTGTTGTTTACAATTCCTTTATCAAATCTATGCCTTTACCATCAATGCTTACATAAGACTTACTTTATTGATGCTTTTCTTAAGTGACGACTTGTATCGGTTTTTTCGCGGTAAAGTCCTTTACTACCCAGTTTTTAACTACTTGTTTTAAAATTAATAAAATGAAAATAGGAAACTCACCATCATCAGCATATGTTTCAGATCCGTATCCATCTTGTAATCCATTGGCCCATGTTCCTTCATACTTCGCCGTCGATGTGTTGGATTGTCTAACACCGTACCTACCCTTGAATCCCTGCGTCCACTCACCCCTATATATCCATCTCCCCCGCGTTTCCACCCCCAAACCATGCCGTTTCCCATTCTGCCACTGACCCTCGAAACAACTACCACTGTAACAAAAAAAAACTTCAATTAATAATATAATGAGGACAAAAATATGGAAGTAATCTTAAGCTTCAAAATAAAACAAAGTTAAGACGGCAGTTATTTGTACTATGTGAAGATGGCTTTCTGTCCGCTGCATGACTGCTGGCTGCCCGCTACAGCGGGCCCCGCGCGCCTTGTCAACAGATAACATCAAAATCAAACAAGTGTGTGGTTATGTTATGGTTTTGGTTGTCGACGAAAACGTGTGAGTGAAACTACTTTTATTTATTTATTTATTTATTTTAGATATAAGTTATTTAGGATTATTTAAAATAAAGTAAAGGTATTTCGATGATTTAACATGTCTTTACCAGGCAGAATTCATTATAAACCTTAGATAAAAGAGACCGAAGATGTAACATTGCACACTGCGCATGTTGTCTGTTTTAACTCCAAGTAACCCACCAATTAAAAATCATTGTTTGCACGACGCCACCCGAATTGCTCCGATTTCCCATTCAACGCTGTTTTTGATTTATTTTATGGTGTTTTAGCAATTTAAAGTGTTCTAGTTATTCAATTTTAAACTCAAAATGCGACGATGTATCTTAAGAAATTGTATATACTTATAATACAAGTACCAGTGTTATGAAATATAAAAAATATATTCGTTTTCAGCGGTAAATATTTATTAACGTTTTGACATAAAGCGCCATAATCCTTTGAGCTGAATACATCAGATCCGCATTAAGGGATTTCAATAAATATTTATCAAATACATTTCAGAAAACAGATTTCGTATTACTTACATAAATTTACAAAAGGGTAAAATTTTAAATATTTAATTTAAATAAGAAGTAAATAGACATTGTTGCTAACGAAATTTTGTTTTTAAAAAGTAGTTTTATAAGAATATTTACTAAAGGTGGTTTTTAGCTCTTTTTGGTAGATAAATAAGAAATAAAGAAGCATAGTTGATTAGTAGTATTTTTATAAGAATATTAGATAAAATACAGGATGAATAACTTAAAATTTCAAGATAATGTAATAATCGATTTTAAAGGAAATACAAAGAGAAAGTAGATTTATTCAAAATAATCGATTAATTGAAAATAATCGATTTTTTTGGAAAAATCGATTTATCGTTTAATCGGTGTTTTAATTAATCGATTCTTTTCGATTAATCGATTATTTTAGATTAATCGATTATTTTCGATTAATCGGTTATTTTCAAATTTTCAAAGGTATAATATGAAAATGATTGATTGATCGAATATAATTCGTTGTTTTATATAACCAATATTTCGGTTATTTTTTAGAAATATCGATTTATCGGTTAATCAGTTTTTTAATATTTATTAATTATTTTTGATTTATTGATTTTTATCGATTATTTTAGATTTTTCGAAGATAATAGAATAATCAATTTTAAAGGAAATATGAAAAGGATTATTAGAAAATAATAATAATAAATTTATCGTAGAATCGGCTTCTTAATTAATCGATTATTTTCGGTATTTCAATGATAATCGAATTATCGATTTTAAATGAAATACAATAAAAATAAATTATTGATAATAATCGATTATTTAAAATAATCGACAATTCGGTTTTTTTTTTTGAAAATCGATTTATCAGTTAATCGACTTTTTAATTAATCGATTATTTTCGATTTTTCAAAGATTATCAAATAATCTGTTTCAATGGACGAAAAAAAAAATGGATTATTTTAAAATTTTAAAGGAAATACGAAAAACAAATAGATTGAAAACAATGGATTGATCGAAAATAATCTATTATTTTCAATGATCGATTATTTATTTCGACAATCACTCATCCTATATATTAATTAATATTCCTAAAGAAAGAAGCTGAGGTTACAATACAAAACAGCATTTTCTCATTTTGACTAATTTTTAATATTATGTAATAGCCGTAGAAAAAATATAATGTTTGACTCAAAAGGTTTGATTTGCAGTATTCGGCTGCGCACATGCTTTTTTATAATACTCGTAGACAATGAGTACCATTTCTTGCTCTATTAACAATAATCTATTTCAACATTTTACTGTAGTATCTTGCTGAAAAGTCCGTAGTAAATAAACGCTAACGAAATATTCTATAAAAGGTCTTCTTTTTACATAAAATGCTGTGCATCTGTTTGATATTAAAAAATCACGTTAATTTTATTTCATAATACAAAATTCCATTAAACATATATTTTAAATAAATCTAATAGTTCATTATGATGCTAATAAACAAAGTCCGGTCCTTGTCACAGATTTCGGGTTTCTGCCCAGTTCCCCCACTCCGTTAACCTTTCTTTAGAAATTGGCAACATTTGCGCAGGTTAAACACCGGTGTATGTTATATCTCTGGTCTCTTTTATCTAAGTTATAAACGCATAGTTTTTAATTGTTATAGTACATTTTATAAGGCTCATTTCACACGTAAATTTTAAGAACAAACATTTTTAAATTTCCTTCTGATATTGATCAAAGAAAGAAATAGTGTCTTATTTTAAACATTCCACTCATTCCAATTAAAACCATCATTATACATTATGTGAAAATCGTTTTTTAAAACAAAATCGTTATGTGAAAATCATTTTTTGATACAAAATCGTTTACAAACACAAATCGTTCAAGACTGCTAAAAGATTTGCTTTGCCTTGCTTTAGCATCCTCAAAACCAGATACACCAGAGATAGTAGTACTTAGTAATATTATTATCACACCTCCAAACAAAGTACCTGTGAAGATAAAGTTAATTTTAATAATATACCGGGTGTTCAAATTAAAGTGTTACAGCTATATACCGCCTTTTATAAAAAACAACGTTTCAGACGAAAGTTTTATAGTTTTATGGGGAAAATGTTTTGGCTAAAATCGTTTTTTATAGCTAACCATATGACCAACTGTTTTTGGCCCAGCAAAATTTTCAAGTAGCTGTTACTTAAAAAGTAAAAGTCCAATAAAAAAAATATGTTCATCAAAAGTTTCTTATTTTTTTATGTACTTTAAGAATATGTAAAAAAATGGAATTCCCATTTAAAAAAACAAAGTCCACCTCGATATGGCCATATTACGGTCAGCTATAAAACAAATAATTCAGCCAAAATGTTTCCCCCAAAAAATTATTAAACTTTTGTCTGAAACTTTTTTTCTAAAATGCATATTTTCGGCGGTATTTAACTGTAACACTTTAATTTATACACCCGGTATATAAAATGAAGCAGAATTTGAGTCAGGCCACTATTTATGTCGCAGGGTTTATTAAGCAACTTAATAGTTTTGACTGTAAAGAGTGTAAAGTTAATTTACAGACATGTTAGAAGACCATCGATACTTTTACTTATTTTAAAGAAAATGATGATAAAAGACGTTTGATTTATGTACAAGGATATATTATTGAATTTCTTTCAAAAATTCATGAAATTGTTTTAGTTTTTCTATGCACAGTACGACATGTTTCCTCGTGAGTAAGTAGTTTTTAGGTCTCATCGCCTTCTTGATGAAAAAACGAAGTATTTGCCAGTCTTGTAATGTTCCTGATGATGTTATAAACAACTTTTTAGGTAAGCGCATTGAATTATTGTTTATTTATTTAAGTACCTTGTATATTATATAAATAAAACAAATATATGTGTAGCTTCGAATTACGTATTCTTTTTCTGTATTTTTGCAGATTCCACTAGACTGACTAGACATATTAGATTCTTTTGGTTTCGTACATTAAACATAAATAGTTTTACTGCTGAGTGGTTACTTTATTCATTTGCTTTTTTTCTCTATTTATTTAATAGGTATCTATTTTTATTTATTATTTCAGAGAATCATATAACTTTGGACCTCGATGAGAGACATTTAGAAAAGGGTTATATCCTTTAAGGTACCATTTAGGAACGCGCGACAAAGGCAGACGTCAGACGACAAATCCTATCGTACTAAAAGTGGTGTCGTCTGTCGCGCCTTTCCAAATGTGTTTCACACAGTGTTGCCAGAATATATTTTTGTTATGTACCAGATTTGTCTGAGAAATGTACCAGATTCCATAAAAATGTACCAGATTCTATGAATTGTACCCTATTTCTCGAATTGTAATGGTTTGGTTCGTTGAAGAGCAAAAAAAGCTTCTATCGAGAACGAACACAAACAAGGAATCCAACAATATATTTTACCCGTCGTCCAAATGAAAACAGGCTAAAAAAGAAAAATTACTAGATTTTGCTTCGAGTATACTAGAGTACCAGATTCTTAAATAATGTATTAGATCTAGTACAATTATACTAGACTAGCAACACTGGCTGAGAGATGACCAACTATTATGTACGCCGTCCGGTGCGAATGTCGAGCCAATGAAAAGCGTATCTGATTATTTGACCACGCATGCGTCAACGCATTTTATTGTGTTGAAAATACCTATTTACATAGCTTTTTTATTTATTTGTAGTATTTTAATTAAATTTAATCAAAATAACTTCGTAAAGAAAATTGAAGTCGACATATTGCTACTTATATGAAAGAACAAAGATATACCTATCAATTTTGAATAATATTTAAAAAACTCATTGAAAAGGCTTTATAATTTATTACAGTTAATCAAAAGTCGTTAAATAATGTAAATTTACTAATAATTTATTGTGGCTAAATACCGTTTTTATTATTTAAATATATTCTGTACGTCTATGGGACGAACATCTGATAAACAAATTTCCAAGTTAAAGTTGTAAAATGATGAATGAAAAAACCGGTTTACATCTTTTACAAATATCGATTTTCTTATTGCGCGGTTAGTTGTTAAATTTTACATCTCGTATGAGAACGATGAAGACCACAGTACCACCCCCAATATTCGTAACATGAACTAATTTTGATAGATGTCATTTATGTGTCATAAATTAAGAATCCTTTTGTTCAGCAGATGGAGCAATATTCCATATTTAATAGTTCTTTTGTTCAACAGATGGCGTAATAATTTTATTAATTTTAAACGGTAACTGTTATAAAATAACAAATTCATC